CGGCACGTTTTTTTTCTAACTTGACGACGTTTTCCATTCACCTGTCTGCAGCAGCAACTTCCGTAGATTTTTTTGGAGTTATTACTTGTCAAATTACATTTTCATGCAGGCAGAACTGTTACTTAGATATTCTAGATTGTAACAAGTCCAAACTTGCACGGAAAGTTAGGTTTGTATTCTAATTTTCCGTATTTGTTTGTGGCAAGTCGGTCAAATGGACGAAAACAGGAGCTGGACGGAAAACCGGCGCAATTACCCTACGGCGAATTTACCCATTTTTCGTGATATTTTTACTCTTCGAGAGCTGGCGTCATACTGACAAAGTGACAACCTGACAACATTTACCATGGCTAATTTAGCCATGGTAAGTGCTAGCGGGGTAAAGACGAAAACGTCACTCGTTACGCGTCCAGTGGTTTATTCGTCCAAGACTATTACTCACATAATTCTATTAAGTACGACAAACTTTTTGTGGTTACTTTGCGCATGATTAATGAGCAATACTTACAAGAAGCAACAGAAAAACGTATGCGATGACAAAAACTTGGAAGTTAAATGCACTGGATAGACGTATGGGAAGATTAATGGCTGGATGAAGTGGATAGAGAAAAATGGCGCGCTACCCCGAGCCGGCAGATAATCTGTTTATCTGAGCTCTAATTGCGAAAGTACTGGGAGTAGCATTCGTGTAATTATTTTACGAGATCAATAAACGCATTAGGAGTTAGATATATCTATAGTTGCATTGGTATAGTTTATTATTTTGGATAGCAAACACAAAACAATTGACATACGAATACCTGTCTACTGTTTTAGGGCCATAATTAACGCCCGTATTCACAAACGATGCTTGCTTAAGTGAAACGGGAAATCGAACGCATAGCGTTGAATAGAGCTAAGTGATTGGTTCATGTGTCACCCTGTGCGTCCACGCGCACTGTGAGACCTCATAGTATGTTTGTGAACACGGGCGTAAGTTTCTTTTAAAAAAGTTTTGCCTTTTTATTATTGGAAAATGAAATCAACTAAATAATACCCAATTAACTTTATTAAAGTGAACTATCACTCGGTTTTAATCCCGCACGGTGCACTAGGTGTAAAGATATTTTATGTTAAATGAAATAAAGGTCGAATAACACAATATACGAGTATGTACCTATATCTTTTGTTAAACGTTAATAGGTATAGTTAATTCCTACACACCTATGGCTATACTCCTACTTTGTAAATTTTTCAACCTAAATGAGCACTTGATTTAAATTTAATACCTAATACTTATAACTTACAGCGCCTCCTTGTTGAATAAAAGCTAAGCCATTCATTTAAAACTTTAATAACAGTGTTTCGTGCGCTCTCCACCTAGTACGGATGGTACGGACCTATGTAGTTATACTAAACGTGTCAACCCCACCTGTTAACTATAAAATAACGTAACTTACCTAATATCCAGGTCAAGTTGTGCCACAATATACAAAGGTAGAATTGGTCTGCATCAGTGACGTGCATTGGTTTTATTTTGATATAGTAACTAATATTATAAAATAACAGATTTTTATCAATAAAACATAGATGATAGACACTCCTAGTGTCAAGTACTAGGTAAATTTAATATTTCAATATTATGGTAGATTTTCATATGACAATCAACAACATTCATACTAATTTTGTTTTCATTTCACGCGACATTCTATTCTCAATAATACAAAACAAGTTCAATCCAAAACCTTTTCTTGTGTTATTTTGCTTCCGAGTTATTTATTTCCATACGTTATTTCGTATCGAACAAAGCAAAACACACAATAACCAACGCACTGCCACAGCTGGGGCTCGAATCCAATACTCATTACTCCGCGAGGGTAAAAATAAAATGTGCAAGTATCAATACACCTGCGTTGCGGTATACGGGTCAAAATTGTTATACTGGTGAAGCATAACTGACGATACTAGAATGAGAGGAGTTTATCTCTTTATTCTTAAACCAGAACGTTTAATAAACGTAAAATAAATTAACTGCGTCTGTCTGTTATTATCTTTTCACTCTCAAACCACCTTTTAGAACCATTTCAATTAAAATCATGATTATATTTTTTCTTAATGATGTTTGAATTTTTGAATAATTTTTTTTATCATTTCGCATCAGACTATAATTTTTGTTGTTAATGCCGCTATTATAGATTGACGTGCTGTCGTCAGTATGTACATTTATAAATTAGGACAGCAGGCCGGGGTCTCAAAGTATATCCAACAAACCCAAGTAAGATCGGACCGTCATAAAAAATGCAAGTATCAACGCACCTGCGTCAAGGTATAACTTTACGGGTCAAAAAAATACGCCGAGGTACGCTGTACACTGGCAAACTGAATACAGCGCTCACCGATGTTTTATCTTTATTGTTTAAAGCTCAGCGCGCATTGATAGTCCATCAACATAATAAAAATGAAAAAGGGTGGGTTATGAAAAAGCCTTTCATAGTAGAAGGACAGCAAACCGGTAAAAAACCGATATTTATGCACGAGTAAGGTAAGTGCCCCCTACTTCGGTATATTAAGGCTCTTACGACTTTAACAATTTATTTAAAAATAACCAAGGATGATATCAGTATGAAAGCTTTTGTATGCTAAAGTTTGGTCTTTTNTATCACGAACTTGGGAAAAAGTAACAATAATTACGGTTCCTTGTTTCGTGATACTAATTATTCCAAATTCCCCAAGTAAAATTCATGGATTATTGTCAAATTGTGTCAATTAACTATTATCTATCCCATATAAAATACAAATAAACCAAGATAAATAAAACGAATCGAATTAAAACCAAAATTACGCTGGTAGCACTTATGCTAATTTATCTTATAATTGGTCATTTATGTGAACTTCAAACTCGTGTCATATAAATTCTAGTGAACGAAACATATACCGAATTTAGATCATGAGAAACTTAAATAAATGTATTATTTGTTTCATAACTTACATTTCAATTATCATAAATAATTATTTAAAAACCAAGCATCAAAATATTATCTATAATATCCTTGATTCGGTAGTATCACGAAACAGGGGACACCCGAAAAATTATATGTACGCTATTTCGTGAGTCAATTAATCGCAATTTTAAAGGAATTCTACGTTTTCATATTACTTTTTTCTAAGCCAAATCAATTGTCAAGGAACACATGAAACCACTATTACAAGTTTTATGCAAATGGACGTCTCTTCGCCTTTTTATAAGCTTAAGAAGTTTGAGCGCTAACCTAACGGTGAGAGCAACATTTTCACGCCGCACGGCTGTTTTTGGCTCTCTGAGAGTTTGAAGCTTCGTATTGCTCTCATTTTTGGCGGCACAATGTTAGTACTTGTTTTTTAGATAGCTTAAATAATAGAGTTTTTGTAGTAATAAAGAATTTTTATAAATAATATTCCATTTGCTTATTATTTGAGCTAGAAAAAAAACTTACGAACTTACGTACTATCACGAACTAGTAGCCGTTTACCTTAGTCGAGTATTTTATAATTTTTTTCACTACATTATAGTAAATTAATTGCTACAGACAGACTACTACCAGGCCTGGCTCACTCCGCGCGGTACATCCGATAATTACCTACAGCGAAGCGCCCCGCCGGCGGGTATTATATCGGTCGAGTGTCACGCGCGCGCCCGTCAGGACGCTGGCGTGCGTTGTAGTACGTACCTAATTCTATGATCGAAGTATTATTTAAAAATGGACATAAAGAGAAAGAAATATTGTGCGGCGTTCGGGTATTTAAATTCGAAAAGAAATCTACCGGATTTATCTTTTTTTTCACTTCCCAGAGATGCTGAAAGGTATGTTATCCATGTAGGTAATCAATAATTCTTAGGATAGTATAGGAACCTTAGATTAATAAAGCCAATAATTAATCTAAGATAGGAACCTAACCTACCATGACTATCTACTGCTCAGAATGCGTTCGTTCGTTTCAGCCAAATGACGTCCACACCTGGACAAAGGCCTCTCCCAAGGTTTTCCATAATGAATGCGTATGAGTCATGAATGCTACATACGTACCTCATTACATATAAGAAGATTAATTATTTTTTCACTAGACAGCAACCCTAACAGCGTAAGAGTTAGCGTAGAGTTCAGGGGCACGCGATAGAAAGAGACAAAACTTGTAGGTGAATAAAATTGTAGGTACGTAGTGCTGTGCGAGCTGAATTCCACTTTATCGCGTCGCAGCAAGACTCGCATTTATTTAAATCGTCTTGCGGAGTAATCCTTCTGTACCTGTACTATTACTTATTCTGTGCTACTACTCGGGACAATGTGATGCTACGAAAGACATAACTGTACATGCTACGAAAAAGTTCTACTACGAAAATCAAGGTCTTCGTTCACACGCTACGAACTACGAGCAATTCCTATCAAAAAGTTCATACTATAACAATTAACGGTAGATATATCGTTGTGATAAGTAGGCATATATGAAAAAAATCCGTCTAAAAAAATTTTGTAAAGAGTTTTTATTGGAGTATACTGTACGCTAACCCTAAGGTTTTGCGTTTCGTTAATCGTTAACGTTACGACACCCGTAAACAAAGACACAAAGGACGGTTACTTCAAAGTTTATTGTGCTGACCTTTAGTGTTTTACGCACTTGTCGTTACAGTACTCTCGTCTCTATGACTCAGATAAAAAGGGCTATGATTTGACCAAAAAGGATTGAAGATATTTACTTAGGATCAATGTAAACAGAGTTCACTTTGCGTTTTCACCCCAATTTATTGCCCACATGTTGATATTAGATTATCCTTTAGGCCAGAATTATGGCACTGGTCGCCCTTTTTCGGAATACAACAAAACGAACAGATTGATAAAATATTATTTTAGTCTTACTTTGTGGTATTATTTTTTCCTGAAAGCATTTAAAACTTTACTAAAGTTTTTTACCGCTTTAAATTATGAACCTCTAACATTAATAAAAAACAAACGACGATCAAATTTTCATTAATTCATTTGTTTCAGACAAGACTCCAAAGTCAGTTCACTAACGAGTCCGAAAGTATCACGCAAGTACTTCACAAACTGGCGGCAAGCATGTGACAAGACGAAGGACAAGACGAAAGAGCTACTGAAGCGTTGGCGAACCCTCCCGGAGGCAGAAGCGGCAGAGGGGCAGATGCAAGAGGCGGGCAACAGCGACGACAAGAAAAACCACGGCTGGAGCGTCCATGTCTGGAGTAAGTACTGAGCTATTCTTAATTTTAGTCACTACTAAAGTCCGGTCGCCGAGCAGATAGAATTTCGTCCAATGACCCCAAGCTACCGATCCTTATCACTCGCACGTAATTTATTACTGTTGTGACTGTGCGACTGGTGGCTGCAGTGAGTGTGCGAGAAATTCTATCCGCTCGGCGACAAGAGGCAGGCAACAGCGTGGATAAGAAGAACCACGGCTGGAGCGTCCATGTCTGGAATAAGTGCTGAGCAAATCTTCATTTTAGTCACTAGTATCGCGCAAGTACTTTACAAAATGGCGGCAAGCATGTGACAAGACGAAGGAGTTGCTGAAGCGTTAACGAACCCTCCCGGAGGCAGAAGCGGCAGAGGGGCAGATGCAACAGGCGGGCAACAGCGACGACAAGAAAAACCACGGCTGGAGCGTCCATGTTTGGAGTAAGTACTAAGCTAGTCCTCATTTTAGTAACAACAAGTATCGCGGAAGTACTTCACGAACTGACGTCAGCATGTGACAATACGAAGGAGCTACTGAAGCGTTGGCGAACCCTCCCGGAGACCGAAGTCGCAGAGGGGCAGATACAAGAGGAAGAGGTGGAGCGTCTATGTCTGACCAAAGAGACCAAAGAGCTAAGCTAAGTTAGTCTAGCTTAGCTCGCATAGCAAGCGCAGTTTTCCATAGTTGAGTGCAAACTGCAAACTATATCGGCTATCACTTATTTTAGCTGATGTTAGGATTCGCTATGCAAGACTGATTAAATTAAAATCTCCGCATCATTCACCACCGCTACAACACAGGTAACACAAGTAAAATACCTATATGATATTTTTGGCAACAACAAACGAGGATTACTTGGAGTGTAATAGTAAATACATGTATATGTCGGGAAAAAAACATGTATACTGATTTCCCCACTTGAAAACTTGAGTATCGTCCTTAATTCCGGATAAGGACGGCTATAGCAATATTTCGCAGCCCAAATATTACCCACTCACACTTTTATTTTCGTACTTCTAACCGAGAGCCATCCAGGGATTAACTGTGCGAAATATTTTCATATTTTCGCTTCTCCTTCTCTTTCACTCAACCTGAGACGTTCGGCACGAGTGAGAGAGTTAAAATGTCAAATAACAATTGCAATTGACCCGTATTCATAGACGTTATCTCGTCATAAGAGACAGGTCTGCAGTATCAAACGTAGATTGTTCTAGAAGGCCAATTTCCGCAGTCCGCTGGCCTACAAACGTGATAGCCACCGCAAACACTATTGTAGCCCGAGCCGGTTCTCCAATTACCGCAAAAACTAATCAACAATACTGCAAATGCTGGAGCTGCGGGGAAATGGAAATAAGTTTGAAATAGGGAAGTTTATTTTATTCTGTGACTAATTGACAGCTTATTGAAAAAAGATATCGTTTAATGGTGATCTTTTGAGATATAAAAACTTATAAAACTAATTTTATTTTTGTAAGTAGGGTTTTAAAGGGCACTTTCTGTCTCTTAAAACAATTATGAATGACGTTATGTATGTATTAATTAGATTTAGTGAAAAGATAGGTTAATTTACTTAAAATTGTTCATCGAACTGAAACCAATGATTTTACTTACAAAACTTAGACGTTGGCAACTTTCATAATAATAAGAAATGATCGTGATATTGTCTTTTTTTCATTTTATAATTGTCATTTGCTCTTACTCGTACTTTTCCTGCAACTCACAAATCCACATTCATAGTATAATTGAATTCTCATAAAGCGTTCGAAATCAAACACATTGAATTGAATTCTCGAGCTGCAGGCAACTTTTCGGGAAATCAATTTAAAGTTGCGAAAACTTGAATCGTAAGTTAATGCTGAAAGGAGCTATATTTCATCGGCGCGCCAAACAATCCGCAGCCGGCTAAATGGACAGAATCCGACCCGGTTCGGCCGGATCTACCCGGATCACGGTGAATGGGTATGTGACGTCATAGATTAGAGTGATTGTCTAATAGAAAGAGCTTTTAATAGTTTTATAATTGAAGCATAAACGTAAGAAGTTTTTCAGGACGTAAGAAAAATCAGCCTTTTTAAGATAAATACATAGGGTAACTGCGCTAGTTTTCGTTCAATTAGCGGAGTTGCCAACTTTGTGATGCGAAATGAATATCTTAAAATACCCTTACTCATATGTATCATATGTCGTTTTAGTCCTTATATAGTCTACTTTACGTTAATATTATATGACAATAAGTAAATACAACGGGTTTTTTTATAAAAAATATTTTATGCAAAAGAGCCGATTTCACTAGTTTTCGTCCAAAAAAATCAGTTTTCGTCCTAGTGTATGCTAGTTTTCGACCACTGTGTAGAAAAAAGGGTGCAGTTGAATTATTAATTTAAAACCAATTCTACAATACAGTAACAATGGATTGTGGTATATCATTTGAAAGGTAATTTTGTTAGCTTTCAAATGATATCAAAAAGATTTAAATAAGTTTCTTACGTAAATTTAGGAAAATATTGCAATAGGTCGAAGGATAAATGGACGAAAACTAATCTACAGGAATAGCTAATTTTAATTTTCGTCCACCCCAGAGCTTGTTCATGGAGTCCTGGACGAAAATACAACAACGTTTAAAGCTGTTTTTTGTTTTCGTCCACATCTTTTTAACGGTTTTTATGGGTTTATNGGGCAGTACTTTCCAATAACCGTGACGAAGATCCTCTGCATCTCTTTGTTTTTTAAGTAAGGCAGCTTTATATTTATTTTTGAAACCCTGAATACTCATTTTTTGTTTCATGGGCGGGGGTAGGTCGTTCCAAATACTGGCCGCATAGAACTTGAAGGATCCTCTATATCGTGTGGAATTGTGTTGAGGTATTCTTAGTGAATTTTGCATTACAGATCGCAGGCTCCTCTGTGTGTCGCTTCTAACCCAGGTAAGTTTTTCAAATAGGTACTCCGGTTTTTTATTCCAAATTACTTTGTGTACAGTGCAGGCAAAATGGAGTTCACTACGAGCCTTCATATTAAGGATACCTTTCTCATTCAGGTATGGAGTTATATATTCCCTCCACGGCACATTGTAGCAGAAACGAATACAGGCATTTTGTACGCGTTGAATAGCCTTTTCAGTCCGAATATTAAGTTTGGGTCCGATCACCGCGCTGCAGTAATTAAAAGGAGAAAGAACAAGCAAGTCGGCTAAAAGTAATCTCAATTCCTCACGTAAATATGGTCTAATTTTGTATAAAGTCTTAAGTTTGAAAAATGCGTTTCTAACTTTACTGTTCACGTGTTCTTCATATTTTTGTTCCCCATCAAGGAGCAAACCTAAATTCCGCGCAGAGTTCACCCTCTTTAGAACAACATTATTGATGGCAATGTCTTCATTGCAATCCACAACTTTTTTTATCTGATTTTTTGTTCCCAAGATCACGACCTGCGATTTGTTAGGATTTAGCGTTAAGGAATTTTTCTTAGACCATGTGTAGATATTTTGGAGATCCTCATTGATATTCCTAATAGCATCCTTCGTATCTTTGCTATCAAATGAGTAGTACAGCTGTGTGTCGTCCGCATATAGATGGTATTTACACGTTTTTATGCACTGTGGAAGGTCCGCGGTGAAAATTGTGAACAGAACCGGGCTCAGTATAGAACCCTGCGGCACTCCTCGGACAATTTTTCCAGGAGACGAGAGTGACTTTTTGCCATCATTTCCGTAGGTAACCACTGTCTGTTCTCTGCCCACCAAAAATGACTCAAACCACTTACAGGCGCCCGTTGAGAAACCGTAATGATTTAGCTTTGCCAACAGAAGCTGTGGATGTAAACAATCGAAAGCTCTTGTATAATCTAAAAGTATCAGTATACTACTCAAACCCCCATCGGAAGCCTCCGCGAGATCATCGGTAACGTGGAGTAAGGCTGTTTCAGTGCCGTGCCCACGACGAAATCCAGATTGGAACTTAGGCACAATATCATTCCTATCCAAATAGTTTACTACTTGTTTTAACACCACCCTCTCCAGTATTTTCGATAAAACCGGTAAGATTGATATAGGGCGCAGGTCTTTAAGTTCATTTGCGGAGTCTTTTTTGGGTATAGGCCTAATCAGTGCCTTTTTCCATAGCGCGGGGAAGGTATGGGTCTCTATGGATTTATTAACAATTGCTGTTATAACAGAAAGAGTTTTATCCAGAGTACACTTGATCATTTTTATGTTTAAGCCATCCTGTCCTGACGAATTAGTTGTAATCTTATTGATAATGTTGAACACTTCTGCTTCTGTTGTTAGCTCCAGGTTAAAGGTGTTTTGCTGTCTAGGTTTCCCAATACTAGTCGAGACATCGTTCAAGTCGAGATCTGTGCAAGTAGGCAGTGCAAGAAAGTGGTTACTGATTTTATTCGGATCATTTAGATGGTCAGGTATACTGTCTGCGTGCTTGTTGTTCAGAAGGGTAGTATTTTTAATATTTTTCCATAAAATATTAGGCTTTTTTAGATTGTTGTTTATGAAAGAATTAAAATAAGCTTTTTTTTCATGTTTAATTGCTGTCGTTACATAGTTTTTTAAACTGCGGTAATAATTTTGGGCGGAGTCTGTTTTGGTTTTGTGAAATTTAGTTAAAGCTTCGTCTCTTAAGGTCATCATAAATTTTACTGTATCAGTGATCCACGGTTTGTGTTTGTCTCTAATAATTATTTTTCGTATAGGTGCGTGTAAGTCAAAGAGAGCTAAGATATAGTAATTAAAAATAGCGACCATCTCATCAACAGTTTTTTCTTCAGTAATAGATTGCCAAGGAATAGAATCCAGGTCCAAATCAAAAATGGTTGGGATTATATTATGTAAAACTCGTTGATATATTACCCGTTTCGTGAATTTAGGTTTCTTTAAATCGAAATCTACAATAACAGTTGCGTGATCACTGAGACAGTTGTTATGTACCACTTCCACATTTTTACAGCGCGTCGAGTCATCGGTAAGAACTACGTCTAGGGTGGTTTCCGTAC